ATACAGTATATATATAACTTGTTAATACCATCTGTATACAGTATATACAACTTGTTAATACCATCTGTATAAAGTGTATATAACTTGTTAATACCATCTGTATACAGTATATATAACTTGTTAATACCATCTGTATACAGTATATATAACTTGTTAATACCATCTGTGTACAGTATATATAACTTATTAATATTATCTGTAATAATAATTGTTGTATGAACATACCCTCATTATATTTGTTTCTTTATTCACTTATTTTTCCTGTTTCTATGATTGACTTAATCTGAAACTCATTTTTTCTTTTTAGTTATAGGTTTGTATAACTGTTCTTATTTTTTTTGAAACTTAGTTATCAAAACAGGGAATTTAAAGATCTGTTATTAGCTTAGCAAGAATTTGATTAACTACACATAATTATCTTTCGATTATATGATTTATTGTCATCAGTAATAGATTATTGTTATTAACAAACATAAATAATATTTAATTCTAAACAAAACATTATTTTAAGGTACTTATTTGAAATGAACTTGCGTGCAGTGACGTCACATCCAATAAACTGTTTTATTACATTGCTTTGACCCCATCCTTTTTGTATACAGGAACAACTGAACAAGCTGATGACCACTCTGAGGTCCACTCAACCTCACTTTGTCCGCTGTATCATTCCCAATGAAACTAAGTCACCAGGTAGAAACACATCGAAATAACCTAAACTTGTAGTGATTTCTTGGCTCACTTGTAGACGGCACTTTTCTTTCGTATTTCTTCTATTGTCAAATTACCTTTTGACCTTTGTAATGCTCTTCAATATCGACTTTGTTTCAGTTTAAAGAATCAGATGCACAACCTTCGAGAACTGTTCTTCTATGGCGACTTCCCAATATACAAAAAAAAATAAAAAATAAACAAAAAAAAAGTGGGCCAAAAAATCAGGAAACAGAGATTCTATATTGCTAAAAGTGAATGAGATCAGTTGTGATTTTAGAGGCACAATCGTTTCAATTTATTATTCTAATTAAATCATGATAATAATCAGGATTATTAATATTACCACATCTGGTCTTGCAAATCAATAATTCGTAATTTTCCCGAAACGTAGTCGCGTTTTTCATCCACGTAATACGAACAGCATTAGCAGCTCTAACATTTTAACTAGATTCTTGCCAAATCTAAATAAAATCCCATTGCTCATGAAAAACGTATTCTTCTTCTTTGTTTTGTTTTTGTTATATGATCAGCTTCAATAAATCCTTTATTTGTTTACAGATATTGTTCTCATAATCAACTAAGAACCCATTCTGCTTTAGATCATCAGCTGCCTTCAAGGGTTACAATGTAAACCATAGATTGATAAACCTAACCTAACCTAGTCACTTAAGAACCCATTCTGCTTTACATCATCAGCTGCTTTTATGGGTTACAATGGAAACCATAGATTGATAAACCTAACCTAACCTAGTCACCTAAGAACTCATTCTGTTCTGGATCATCAGCTGCCTTCAAGGGTAACAATGTAAACCATAGATTGATAAACCTAACCTAACCTAGTCACATAAGAACTCATTCTGTTCTGGATCATCAGCTGCCTTCAAGGGTAACAATCTAAACCATAGATTGATAAACCTAACCTAACCTAGTCACCTAAGAACCCGTTCTGTTCTGGATCATCAGCTGCCTTCAAGGGTTACAATGTAGACCATATAAAATTACGTACTGTTACTAAGTTATGAACATTTCACCTGCAATGTTAAAACTTGTATAACGATGTTTGTTTTCGTTGCTCATCTCTAAGCTATTAACTATATTTGTTGTCTTATGAGAGTTTCACGTCCTTCTGATCGTCGGTGAATTTAACAAGTTAACCATTGTCTTGTATTCAACGCTTTTTGCTTGATATTAAACGCAGGAACAATTGAACAAGCTAATGACAACACTCAGGAACGCTGCGCTCCATTTTGTTCGTTGTATCATTCCGAACGAGAATAAAGCGCTAGGTAAGAGCAAACTAGCACCGCTACTCGTCCTAAGAGTAGTTTAGCCTTCTATCCTGGAATAGAAACTGTACGAGATTAGGCAGCACGCTACTTTAATGGCTAGTGACCACACAAACACCTGTTGTCCTTTCTCTGAACGTTGCATCACAACTGTTGTCAAAGGTTTGCCCTGGAGTAGAGATATGTTACAACTTTTATGTCTCTGTTTAATTCCATGTTGACCAATAGTTTGGGAAAATTACCCACCTTTAGGCTCTTTCTGAAACGAACCACCAGTCACCTTGTAATAGTATCACGGACGTTAACTTTATTTGTGATGTAGTTCTATTTTCTTCCAGTAGATGTCTCTGTTTAGCTTGACCATTATATTGCAGTATAATTATTTTAATTACTGCTTTGGATATCTTGATTTATAATAACAATTTTTTAATTTTCTAGAATCTTTCTAGTTTTAATGTTATATCTTACTATTGCTTATTATAATTTTAAATGCCACATCTAATAAGTAAACCAATGTTATATAATTTGATAACATCACCTGTGATGTTGTATATATTCTAATTTGATAATATCACCTATAATTTTTTATATATTATAATTTGATAACATCATATATTAATGTTATATATGTTATAATTTGATAACATCACCTATAATGTTATATATATATATTATAATTTGATAATATCACCTATTAATGTTATATATTTCCGATGTTATAACTGATTATAAATGAATGATCTCAGGTGTGATCGACTCCCACCTCGTGATGCACCAATTAACATGTAACGGTGTACTGGAGGGTATTCGAATCTGCCGAAAAGGATTCCCCAACAGGATGATCTACTCTGACTTCAAGCAAAGGTACTATTTTAACGTGTTATGTTTATAAAATAGTCGAGAAGGTACACTTAACGTCGCCTCTAAGTTTCTGGTGATTGCGTTTTGGTTGACGAACCATAAGAAGTTATTTATTACTGTAATGTTACGACCTTAAAATTTTATTTATCCATCAATTTTTCAAAAAGGATTACTTTTGGCATTTATCCATTTATTTTCAAATTATTTATATTTTGTACTAAAAGAGTTAACAGAGGTAGTAAGAGAAACACAAGTAAATATTTAACATATGTTTTTAAAGTAAATTAAGAAACAGTTACATAAGTAGTAACATTATTTCTGATTTTACCATATTCTATTTAAGCTGATATCTTACTCTGTTTTAGTAATAATTTCGATTAAGGTGTTGCAGATAAATGCGCATCCGTCTCTTTATAAACGGAAGATTATTTTTATTCGATGGTCTATAGAACTCTTAGTCCTTACAATAAAAACTTTCTTCTGTTCAACACCGTATATTCCTGTTCAATTTTAGATACACAATTTTGGCCCCCAATGCTGTACCGAAGGGTTTTGTTGACGCTAGACAAGCAACAGACAAGGTTCTAGACGCGATCCAGCTCGAAGCTAATGACTTCCGTCTGGGTATTACCAAGGCACGTAAACCTTCGTTCGCCAAAGTTATTATACCCATCAGCCCATTTTAGCCTCTCCTAACTCCCATCTCCTTACCAAAAAACGTAGAAAGTATTCTCTGTACAGAATAAATCACGTTTTTATAATATTCTGAATTATCTCAAAACTCCTCCTTCCACTTCCTCACCGTCGCATTATACTCCTTTTTTCCAGTTTATCCCTTTCACCCCCACAACATCGAGAAAATAGGGCTTTTTATCATTAAAAAACTTTTCTTGCCTCATCCCATTCCGTTCTCAGTCCTCAAAAATGTTTTTAATATTTTAATATGAGACCCAGCAAGTTTTGAGAACTACTAAAAAACAAAATAAAAAAAACGGTAAGCTTTCTTTATATTATAGTAATTATGATCCTTAAGTCGACGAATCAGAAATTCCTCATTTTCACAATAGTTTGTATATACATATTTAAACCCGCACGTTCCCAAAATTTTGTTTACGTTTGTAATATATTTTAGATTTCCTTTTTATAATAATGCAATTATTTAAACCCCTTATGGTTCGATTCCCCTTAGATCGACCTCTCCCTTTCGTATTGATAACTAACGATACCTATTAGCATCTCAGTTTCGTCTGGAGTGACGTTCGTCTCGGATAGGCCTAACTTATGTGTAGTCCAACGTGTGTATTCCTTCCTAATTATCCTGAATAGAAAACTACCCTAATGTGATATAGTATAAACTATCGTTTTTGTGTGATTTGTAGGAATTAGTTCCCAGTGTCTTGGTGAACAAACGTTTTCTTTCAGTTGAAAATATCAAACTAACGTAACGGCAAAATATCAGTAAATCAGAAGAGCTGGTGTGTTACTTTACAACTATAAGTAATTAAGTTTAACGTATAGTGGGACGCTGCATATATTTTAATTTGTTACAGTTTTATAAATTTAGCTAATCGGGTTTTACAATATTTTCGATTTTACAACAGTATTCTGTTTGAAATCATAATATTGTTACGACAGCGGAAGTCACGTGACTCTAGTAACACGTCACGAACTTCTAGAAGGATGCTGTCCCTTCCTGAATGCTCGAGCGTTTACTAGATTTCGGTATTCTTTTATATATAAGACGGTCAAGACGTGATGACAACAATGTAATGTGCAATTGAACTGCGGACAGAGAGAGAATATTGTTGAGTCGAGCACGTGAGACGTTCGTTGTGAATTATAGCGTTTGTTATAGCGCGACTGTGGAAATTAAGTGTAGTGCAAAGTTGTATTCAGAAAGAATAAAACATGTTACGCCTCCGTTCGTTAGTTTGTTTCCCGTATAATTTCTTTTTAAAGAAACTTTAGTGATACAAGTCCTTTCTTAAATAAAACTGGTTTATTCTTTCTAAATACAACTTTGGAATACACTTAATTTCCACGGTCACGCTATAACAAACGCTATAATTCACAACGAACGTCTCACGTGCTCGACTCAACAATATTCTCTCTCTGTCCGCAGTTCAAT